CCTATTGTTTTTTATTGCAATAAATGCAGGGCGTTAAGCAGAAAAAAAATTCCAAGGTGCTGATTTTCTTTATATAGTTTTAACTTCTAAGATTTTTCATATCATTTATGAATAATTTCTAATGTAAAAACAGTGATTGTWTAAGTATACTCATTCTCACTTTTAACCTGAATGATTTTCAAATTTGTAATTTATTTCATGTAAAATTTAAATCACRAACAATTCCAAATTTATTGTAGTAAATATCAATAATATAGTATTTCAATATCCTTATTGCTCACTATTAATAGAGCTAAGGAAATTAAAGTGGAAGATTAATTAGATTTATAATTAACTTATCACCTACTAAATCATTATTATACTACCTATAGGTACTTGTTTAATATTAAACATATTAGTTTATTTTAGTGCTGAACACCAAATTCAGATCAATTCATATTCAGATTACCGATCCGGATCRAAACAAAAGTTACATGATATAAATCTTGATTATTAAGCATTTATAATTCTTTAACTGCCTACTCACAAAATATGTATTTTACTAAAAAATCCAAATCAATAAATTGAACCCGAAATTCCGGATCAACAGGTCGAATCCGTGAATCTGGATAAAACGGATTGATCCAAAATTTGAATTAAAAAATTGTAATCTGTAATTCGTATTGGTCAAAATAATGCTCAGTGCTAGTTTAATTAYATATTTAGTTTTTATCTAAATTATATTTAAAAATAAAATATACATATAAATTGCATATTTTTAATCCATRTAATATATAAAAATTAATGTATGTGATTAGTAGACAATCCTTGAACCAATCAACTGGGACCACATTTTGCATATAATATACTTCTTGAGTTTAGGGTAATATTCTATTTACAGTTTTTCAATAATTATAGGTTGTTATTGAGTAGTGGCGAATAAGTTTATAATTTTTTAGCTGGAAGTAATTGAATAAAACCCCCAAAAAATAAGACACGAGCGATAACGACTGCATTGGTACATTATACTACAGTACAGCTATAATCTACCAATATTAAACCATAATTAAACCATATTTAAACAATAATATTTTCTATACCTAACTCTAATCAATAAATGAATCTCAATATTTCCAATGGTACAGCTGATACAGGGTACAAAAATAAATATTATTTCTAGCTAAATGATTCCATAATCAATATATTTTTTTTTTCTGCGGTAGAGTGGTTAAAAATATTAAATTAGTCAACTTTATTAAAATTATTTTCAATTTTCATTGCACAAGGTTCAGTGCTTGATAAAAGGTCCTAGGGCTCCATGCATCGATGGGCGRCCCCCTTTTCGGCCAGTCTCACTTTTTGACCAAAACTTACCATTTACTTTTCCGCCATCACAGTTTTCTTTAAAGTTTACTATTTTAACAACTGAACATATTATTACATTTATTTTGTTAAATGAAAATTAGATGCATATTTAATTATTATTATATTTTTATTCGACTAATGTACTATATTTCAACATTTTTATTCAATTTATTGTACCTATATTTAATTATTATTATATTTTTATTCTACCAATGTATTATATTATAACATTTTATTTTATTTATTTATTATTTATTTCACTATTTTTTCTCAAAGTATTATGTAATATTTTTTGATACAATCATAACTCATAAGTTTTTAAAATTGTAAATTTTAAAGAAAACTGTGCTGGTCGAAAAGGAACAGTGGCCGAAAAGTAAACGTAAAGTTTTGGCCGAAAAGAGTAGGGTAAGTGTTGGCTGAAAAGTGGCCCTGGCTGAAAAGGGAAGGGTATATTTTGGCCGAAAACRGTGACACSCACATAAACACAGGATAGGGCCTACCGGGAAAATCCCCAATTMCCGGTGGGTCTATCCTCCACTGTTATCGAGTGGTTAACAAACAATGTTTCATGCACCTATTTTTTTTATTCATGTTTTTAAATTATTTTCATCATAATAAGTTTCTTGCTACTGTAAGAGCTTATTTTAAYCTTAAAATTATTGGCCTAAAATAAACATTGTAATGGTGGCATCTAGGCAAAATACATATTAATTGTTGTATTAATTTATTTTAGTGTGATACTCAACATGGGATCCTTTCTGTTGTCGTCTTCATTTGATGCTGATGTTGAAAAGGCAACAAGTGGTACTAGCACAACTGAAGATTGGGCTTTAATAATGGAAATATGTGATAAAGTGGGAGCCTCTTCAGTTAATTCCAAAGACTGCCTTAAGTCAATAATAAAAAGACTTAATAACCAAGATCCACATGTTGTACTTCAGGCCATTACACTTTTCGACGCCTGTGTTAACAATTGTGGAAAGAATTTCTTACTCGAAGTGGCTTCCAGACATTTTGAACAGGAATACCGCAAATTATTAGCTAAAAATTTACCTCATAAAGTTTCAGATAGATTAAAATTACTATTAAAAAAATGGGCAGAAAATGAATTTAAAAATGATCCACAGTTGAATCTTATACCATCTTTATATACTAAATTAAAACAAGAAGGTGTAGACTTTTCATTGTCTTCAGAAGTTAACCAATCAAAAAGTGCTAAATCAAAAGATTTGGTATCATTACAAGAAGTAGATGATATAGCCAAAGCTATTGAACTTAGTTTGCTAGAAAATGAACGCTCTGCACAGAAAAAAACAACAGGTGAAACAGATCGGAGAGCATATTTAAAAAAAGTAAAAGCTCTGTATGATTTTGAGGCAGCCGAAGACAACGAATTGTCATTTTCTGCTGGAGACATAATCTACGTTCTTGATTCTTCCGATCCTAATTGGTGGAAAGGATTTACTGACAAGCATCCTGAAGGTCTTTTCCCAGCAAATTTTGTGACCACAGATTTATCGAATCCAAAGGACACATCAGAAGAAGTCAATTCAAAGAAATCAAAGGTCAAACATTCTGCTGAAGATTATAAGTCTGTTGAAATCGATGAGAATAAAATTGATTGTTTGCTTCAGCTATTGCGAGAAGCAAATCCAGAAGATGACAGTACAGATACTGAAGAAATGTCCATATTGGAAGCACAAGCAAACGCTATGGGTCCGTTGATAGAAGCTCAACTTGAACAGCTCGACAAAAAACATTCYCAACTCACYCAGTTGTGTACAGAACTATTAGAAGCGGTAAAATTGTATAACATATTTATGAAAGACCCAGTGACAGGCTATACACCCAAACCACAAACTGAAACTATACAACCTCCCACTATGTCACCACAACATATGATACACCCACAACACATGCAGATGTATAATGGTATGATGGCTAACTACGCGCCTTTGCCAGTTGAACATTATATGCCTGGATCACAGTATCCTGTTAATCCCAGTCACATGATGCCAAGACCAAATATTGGAGGCCAGATACACGATCAGCCATCATATCAAATGCCCAATATGCAGAACATTCCCAATTACAATCAAGTGTATGGTTCAGGTCACAGCGTACAATCCGAATCATTACCACAAGTCATGAATTACGTACCTCAACCTCAACCACCTTCACAACAGTAATCTAAATTATCTTTATACAAATGTTATTGAGCCTCGCTTTTGCATATTATTTTAGTAGCATACAACAAAAATAAACACATTACGTACACAAATAAAGTATAATACAATTGCTCGTTGTTATAATTTTTTTTTTCTTTTATATATTTTATATAATATTTATAATACTTAAAGAGAACAATGGTTCACAAATATA